AACCTGCGAATCCGACGCATCGCCCGAAGGAGAAGGCGCCGCTCATGCTTCGTTCTACGCAGTCATGAGGCGCTTGACATGACAGATCTGCGTTCCGGGTTCCTCCTTCACCATTGGATGGGGTTTAGTTGTTTTGAAACTCCTCAGTTTTGGGTTCCTCCTTCAATTCATCCGAAACGACGCCCTGAAACGCAGCCTCCAATGGCTCACCATCGGTGCCCATGATGGTTGCATCACTTCCGTACGCCTTCTTGAAGCTGGTCTCCTCACGGTTGCCCGTTGTGCGGGAAGTCCAACAACAGAACACAAACAAGCACAACATATACAATATAAATATATATATATAGAAATATACAATACTGATAATAGGCACAGTTATATTAAAGAGCACAACTACTGTATAGGTCTGTCTATGCTGGAACAGTAGGACGTCATCAACAGTTCACAATGGCCAAAACAGGGTCAAGTCTGTCGGTCTGTCTGTCCGGGCCCTGTACATCTCTCACTCCCCAGCAAGGTTGTTGCCCTTCAGGCTTGTTTGTGTTTGACACCCTTTATACCAGAAAAGCGAACAAGGAACATCACTTGCAATAGCTATATAAAAGATATTAAAAAACATATGAAAGCATCTAACATCAACAGTATACTATATTATAGAGGGAAACATAGAAACTTGCAACAGTCTGATTGATGCGCTTACAGGGGGTTGTCTGGTGTCTCCCGGGAGGCAAAGGACGGAGGGGTGAGAGGTCCACCCCGGACTCCTTGACACATACCGTCACATGCCCCTTCAAACATGTGAACATGTACGGCGTGGTCTTAAAATGCTTCGAGGGTCAACGGTCAATGTATAGGTAAATCTTCCAGTCCCATGGATTGTTGAGGTTTCACCCCTCAGGTCTGACACCTACGTAATCCCAAACGGCCTCCAACGGCCCCAAACGGTGTCAACGCGAGTCGTCTCCTGGTCCAAGGTGTCATCGCCTTCCAAGGGCGTCGGTGGTTCCAAGCTGGGCAAGGGAGATGGCAGCTCTGCCGCAACCTTGTCCTGTCCAAGATCCAAAAGGTTTGAATGGTTCGAATGGTCTGAGATCGACACATGGACAGCTATTGCACTATTGCACTCATTGTACCCATGACCCAAAGAGCATGCCGTGAACGTCGAACCCCCGGCTCGGTCCCGAGGCTTGTTGCTCAGCCCAGGAGTCGGGGTCTTCTGCTCTTCCCAAAAGGCCCACGACCTTGGTGCACACGGCTGGATTCGTCAACGGTTGTGGTGTCTGCTGAAGCACTTCTACAATAATTTTCTTCTTCCTTCGCAATATCAGTATGTGCTTGCTGGGCCCGCTACAGCAAACAGCTCTTTCGGGAGCGCTCCCATCCCAAGAATATGTTCGCGTTTCGCGTGCGGGACCATCTTTCAGCAACTTGAGTGCATGATAATTTGCATTCATGAGTATGTACACTCCGAATGAGGATTCTGGAACAACTTCAACTATCATGAATGTTGAGCTGATGGAATCGAACATCAAGAGTTGGAGCTCCAGTCCAAAAAGAGATCCTTGCATCATTGAGGCAGGAGAATGCCTGCTATTGATAAATAGCCAACCTGCAAACATTGTAGGCCCTGCAAGGGGTCATTGTGGAGAGAGCTAGCCAACGGGAGGTCTTGTGTTTTCTAATCAGGATACAGCCTCCAAACAAACATCAAGAATCGAATCGTAAAAAGGCAAACGCAAACTCATCAAACTACTTCGAGTTACTGACTGAATTTATGGACCATAGACATTCCTGGAGGCCTTCTACTGAGCACTTGAGCTGGTGCAAGTGGTTTGAGTGGCACGTAGTCGACAAATTATGGGATGGGTGTGGCTCCCCGGTACTGCTTTCAATGCCGCCCAACTGCTCGTCCGCCTCTCCAGCCAATGCCTTCGCTGCAGCTTTCCGCCGTTCAAAGTCTTCACCCACAAGGTCTGGATCCTGGCTGGCGCCCCGTGACCAGGGCATTGATGGACTTTTCCTTGGACTGACATTGATGTAGAATGGTTTACATTGAAATGATGGACCAAACAGGTCAGGCCTGGGTACTTGGCCCTTTGCATGAGACCGGTCACTGCAGACCGACGAGGGACGAGACCGATGAACGGCACCGGTGGACGCGGTGTCTTGGGCAACTGGAAGGGCCACCAACCAAGAATCCCCACAATTGGCAGTTAATTGAGATTATATGATGTTTATATGGCTGGGATGTAGAACATCACGGATTATCTGATTGAAAAACGGTTGTAGCATCATGAGCTAGCACCCTCCAACATGGCAACGGTGCAACATTGCCAAACGTTGTCCACAAAAATACTACATACTGTAGCCGTGCATTGCCAACATTTGTCGCAGCTTCCAACATACTTGTATGAATCTGTTCCAACGACATGGGTTTGCCTGCTACACAAGTCTTCCTTCATGCTCCGCTAAGGACATATCCCGCAACGAGAATCCCCAAAAACTCCTACGGTTCCCATCGGTCCCTGAACTTTGCAAACAAGCCCCCAGTAGTTCAGTTACGCACTCGCATACAACGACCATCTCAATCTACGTGCACAACTAAACGTGGGGGTGATGATGGGTGATGTCTAAGTTCGGATCCCACAAACGACCACAAACGCTCCTTGTTCAGCATGGAGAGTCCCATCAACTCACGTTCCACTCTCGGCTGCGGTGCATACCGCGTCTTTGCAGCGGCTAAGCCAACACCTTTGGAGGCCGCCGGGTTGTTGGTATAAATACAGGGTAAGGGAGTAAGGGTTGTATGAAGTCGAACATGCAAAGTACAGCAACTTCTTCAGCTATCAGCATATCCATACGGACAATCGCATCCTTGACATTCCTTGATGTTTGAAACATCCTGAAACCACAGCCCCATCACGTAACGGAATCTTTTGTAGTCATTCTTTTCGGACACCAGCTGAAACATAATTACGGCTCACAATTGGTCTGAGTCAACAAAAACACCTGTTCGAGAAAACCTCAAAAGCTGAACTTGCAAAGTCCGCTTCTTACTTTCGCACATGGACATGTATCCAGCCATGGCTGGATGTCAAGCCGAAGGAACCCCTTCCAGCCCCGAAGGCGACACGCCTACGCCGAGTGGTAGCCAAAAACGATGTTCATCAAGGAGAGCTGGTCCTCTGCGCGTCCAGCTGCCTCCGTGTGACATAGACCACATAAACTTCCTTTTACCACCACGATCTGCTGAGCTGGGTCCCGGGACATCAGGAGCACTCGACTTTGCTTTTTCAGCACAGCTGGCATGATAGGGCATGATATGAACCAGTAGCCCTCCAACGACACCGAGTTCACCATCAAAATCCAGCTTTTGACCCGGGATGTGACCTGCCTGATGGTATTCCTAGCGCTTCCTAGCGCGTCTCTGCATCTACAAAAACTCGCGCGCACGGCATCTTCCCCGAAGCAATGAATACAAACCTGGGGACCCCCCAAACTGGTAGGGCTTGAGACGTGAGCAGCAGCACCTGGACCATGAGAAGCCACCTACTGACTGAGGACTGGGCTGGCTGAAGGGCCCTGCGTCATTGCGCGCGATGTGCCACACATGGCAGGTGCTGGCAAGGAAGTCCACGCGCCGAGCCAGCTGTGAGGGAGAGGTGTAGCGGTCTCCATGGCATGAAGGCTGCGCAAAAAGCGGACAGGGGCTCAAGTCTGATAGAAGAAGGTGACACATGCTTGAGGGGCCTATATAGCAATGAAGCTATTTCAAGGTGAAAATATCTGCTTTCAGATCAGAAAGTAGGTCGAAAGCTTTATTTGGTTAACTTTATGACACACAGTGGATTCTGCTGCCTGGTAAAGTCCGTGCAACATCGTGCAACCATGATTTTCAGTAGTGTATTTTGGATTGGAATTGCTTGATGGATTGAGGCTGCCAATTCAATCCATATGCTTTCGAGTATCTAGAATCTATATAGAGTATCTTGGCTTGGCAATGCTGCAAAGGTTGTGACTCGTGGAAAACGCTTCCGTCTGGTCATGTTGTTCTCACGGGCATGCCATTGAGCTCCCGGAAGCTCGAAAATGGCAGTTGGACACCATCAATCATAATGAGAACACAGAAGGCGGCTCAAAAGGAAAAGTTTCAGCACAGAACAAGCACAGGCACAGCACAAGTGCTGTGAGTGTCCAGGTTTGCTCTTGTTCAACTCTAAAGTTGAACATGTTGATTGGAACATGCTGGAATAAAAGTTCCTGGATACTTTTCCAACAGGAAATCTTAAACAATCTTAAACAACATATGGCAAACATTGGTGAATTACTGGGTGAATTTGCTGAATGCAACGTTTTGTGGAATTTGCATCGGTTCTCGCCAAGCAGGCGCTCCTACCACAAAGCAGTGTGAATTGTGCTAAATCACGGGAAATCCGATGCTAGTCAGACTGAAGAGGGGCAACCAAACAAAACACAAAGATTGAGGCACGTGCAAACACCATTTGTCAGAATGTTCCTGTCTGCAATCCTGATTGCAAATGAATGCAGGTTTTACATGACACATGAATGTTCCCATGGACAGTTGTAGGTGGGTTCGGCTACCCTGCCGCTAACAAAGTATCTGAAAACATTGCTAAGCCAAAGAAGGGACCATCAATGCTCATCCAAGGAGGGATTCGAACAACAATCCCTTTAACATCCAACTATGGAACATCCAACTGTTTAAAGTTTAAAGTATTTTATGTAGACTACAAACAAATGGCAGCTTTGCTCATATCTTGTGATGCACTTTGGGAGATACTTTTGGAATGGAAGTGAGTTGCAGGAACCCTGCAATGTATATCTTCCGGCCAATCTCTTAAGCACTCCGTGTATACATATTGACCTACTTTGTGAATCTTTGTGGTGTAGTTCAGCGCAGGGAACACGCAAACAAACACACACACACATCATTGCACAAACTCCTCAGGGAACTCTCAGCAGTCGGCGTTGTTCCTCTTTTGTTCCCTCTGGCGCCCTCAGCTCTTGCACCTCAGCGAAGATCATGCGCGATGTTCAAATCACGTCATCAAATTGTACAAAGATAGGTATCTGTTTTGGGATTGCTCAAAGGATGCACTACTTCCTGAAGCTACTTTGCTACACACATCTGCCTATGAATGAACATCATCATCAACTGGTTTGATGCAGGAAGTTTGGACATCAACACACCAGGGGAAGCTGGTGGGAAGACGTGTAGATCTTGAAGCAAAGTCGGCTCTTGCTAATGGTCTTCACCTAAGGTCGCATCTATAATTGCAAAATTGACTCCAAACAATCTCACTGTCAACAAACATGTTTGATCCAGAAACCTATAGGTTTGGATGTGGATGTTTTCCAGAACGACCAGTGGGTCTCTGTTGCCTGTTTGTGCTCCCGATACCCACCGCTGACGTGTGGTTCCATTAAGTATCAGTCCCAAGGCACTGCTCCAGTTGCGCCACGTATTCGGAAAGCCGTTGCAGCTGGGCCTCGAAAAGGAGTTGCAGCGGCTTTCGTGCTCGTTCAAAGCGGTTTTCGTGCTGGTGACCTCGCTGCAAAGGATGGTGACCTCGATGGGGCTAATCACTCGCGTAAATATTGTTGAGATGATGAGAAGAATGAAATGAGTAGAACCATATCATATGAGGTGTACCTACTATCGAAGCAATCCGTCGAGCAAAGGACTGCAAAGGCTCATTGGACCATGGGACCCTCAAGAAAAGAAAAGAACATAACATAAAGTAATAATAACTGCGAAACGTCGATATTCATTTTAGGGGGATGTTTCGTGGCCACGTGGTGGATGCGGTGGCACCGACCTGTAGAACCATTACCCAATTATGCAGCTGCAAATGTCTATCAAAGGATCCTCAAGGATCCTCGGTTTGTATCCAGCGAATTTGATTGAATCTTGTCACCTTGGAGTCACTCAAGAAAAAGGGCAGGATGATGCAGGATGTTCCTTGCGCCACTGATTGGTGAGCAACAAGGACCGGCTCCGGCTCCCACTGTTTTTCATACCGATACCTCGTAAGTAAGTTGGATCAACAGCTTGAAGTCAGTCCTGCCCATGTCCACAGCAGCCAATCTCTCTTTGTGTATTTCTTGTTCTTCCCCAGGGCTCCCAGCCTCACCCATCTGGATCAAGTCATCTCCTGGCGGTGACACAAGGCGACACGAGTGAGTCTTCACCCGTGTCAAAGTCTTCAAACAACTTGAGTCCGGAGGTTCCAAGAAGGAAAAAAGGAAGACCCAACGTGAAAGTTTTAAGCATTTGGGGTTATATATGGTTATATACAAATGTATACAGTATGTATGATGTATGTATGTATGTGTGCGTGGCACACCTCCCGGGAACAACAAAATCCAATATGAAAACAACATATTGTATCATATTGTATGGGTCTAAGCCCCTCTCCAATGGCAGCGACTGCGTGCCATTTTGTGTGGAGATTGCAACTACGAGTACCTAACTCAACTCATTGCTTGTGGGATGTTTTGGGGATGGGGATGGTAATGGTTATGGTTGGATCCCCTTTCCTTGTCAATCGAAACAAACCCAGCCCACGCAATTACCAACGCTGCCTGACTTGGGTGGCACGGGCGAGACATTGCCATCTCCGTCCACAGCCTTCGTTGAGGTGAGGGGACGTGTTTGGCTTCAACTTGTGCATCTCTTCAACGGAATGACTTGGAGCCTTGGACGACTCATCCGTAACAAACAACGTTTTCAAGGAATAAAACATATACTTATAATAAAACTAATACAACTCTCTGAAAGGCCTTTGAACCCAGAACATGGCAAAGATTGGTCAGTTTGTCTTGAAATCTGTCAATAGGAGAAATTAGATATTCAAGTTTAGTGTGGGTTAAACAGGTGTACCCTCTGTCAAACCCGGGGGTGGTCGCGGTGATTCCTAGGTGTGTTCTATCAGATTTCGACTGGTATGCGTGCCTTCATTCAGCCAGTCTTCATGGAAATGGCAACAGAACCAACAGACAGGCAATCCCAAAGCAATGGTATGCACTATCCCGGCAAGAGACCCCAAACAGTGTGAAATAACAAGGGCGAATAAATAAGCCAACTTCCGCACTCTAGAGCATATGTGAGAGGAAACACATGAGAGCAAACACATGAGAGCACAAATGAGAGAGCACACACATGAGAGCAACCATTTGAGAGCACGTGAAAGTACACATATATAAGAGAACAAACACATGAAAGCAGGGATATAAAAGCACAAACAAATGAGATCACACACATGTAGACACATTTAACAAAAACACATGTAAGAACATAAACAAAAAACATGTGAGAACACACATGTGGGAGCACGGGTATGAGTGAGCACACATAGGACAGCACAAACGTGAGAGCACACACACATGCGAGCACAGCTATGAGAGCTGTGAGTCAACACATAAGAGCACACGGGGCGCACACACACACAAGCACAGGTTTAAGCATATGTGAGAGCACACACACACATATGAGATGTAGTCTCCCAGCAACGATCAAATACCTTGTATATCCAAAGTCCCAACTTTTTCAAATAAGGAGTTGCGCGAGTGACTAGTGACTATAGTGGGTGGTGACATGTAAATAGTCCAAGGATGAAACTGGAAGGGAACCATCGAACGAATGATGGGCCACCCATCTGATCGAAAGCAATGCTGAAATGGAATGGGAGCGTTCATTGAAACGGTTCAGGCCGGAGGGCCGAAATCCTGTGATGTAGCAGCTGCAAGGCAGGGTACCAATTGACCCAACACCTAAACCAATAAATGACGTCACTCCTGACTTCAGAAACACATACCTGTCCAGGACCCCAGCGGCGCACAGCTGGGTCTTCCGGGCCCAGTGTCGACTCTCACAGGCGGCTTTGGCATTGCTGGCATCCAGACCCAAGAGCTGCGACAAATGCGACAAGGAGACCACCTCGCGACCGACCGACCGCTCCCGGCGACCGGAAGAGCGGTTCGTAGCACGTAGACCTGGAAGTATATGAATCTGTTTATTAGCTTTTTGTTACTACTAGTAAGGCACTTGTTACTACTAGCGTGGCACTTGTTACTACTAGCGTGGCACTTGTTACTACTAGCGATTTGAACCTCCAGGTTCAAAGGACGACAACATGACATGACAATTAAAGGTCGTGTATGGTCGTGCATTCATTAGGTAGACTGGTCTATGTTCCTTCTTCCAGGGGGGGCGAACTGGGAAGTCTCCATGTCTTACGCATGGCGTGCAGCCTTCCAGGCTTGCTTGTCGGTTTCAGGTCTTGGTGCCCATGAGGGAGCCAACAATACGTTTGGCAGCTAAGACCCACGGGAACCTTTGCCTGTATATATTATATGTGTTCGTTTGTTTTAGACTGGTTACCGACAGCAGTATCATGTTGAAAGCAAAAACGATACAATGTATATAATGCAATGAACCGGAAAGAAACGAGTGAAACAAATCTCCAATCCCAAGTGTTTGTGGCTCTGATAGGAACCAAGGTCCGCATTTTGGTTTGAGGCCATCGCTCTTCGCGTGGCCATTATTAGGTTGGCAGGGCTTAGAGGTTAAAAATGCACATTGCTTGTCCTGCCAAGGTAGGAAGTGGTTGTCGGCAGGGGGGCAGGTCCCTCGGTTCGGCTTCCGTTCGCCCCAAACAGCTCACTCATCGAGTCCTTTAAGCAGTTTTAATGCTTCAGTTGTCTTCTTGTTATTACTAGCGTGGCACTTGTTCCTAGTAGCGTGGCACTTGTTCCTAGTAGCGTGGCACTTGTTACTACTAGCG